CATTTAGAGATAGGCAGTTTGATACAAGTTTAATACGCGAGATTATGGATGGACTACGACCACCGATGCCTGATTCTACACCAGAGGAATACAAGAAACTTGCCGAGCGGTGTTGTGATGCTGATCCTGATATGCGTCCAGATGCATGGAAACTTTTGGATGATATTGACAAGCTTATTGAAAAGATCAGTTTTGATGACAACACGTGGAATTCAGTTTATTATAATGATGTAAAACCCTTATCAGAAGGGGAATAAATATTCTAGTACGCTCTTACTTACTGGAGATCTGTCCAAACCAAGAAACAGCTACGATTCTCATCAATTACCTCCCTTGTCAGATTTCAGCTTGCCAAGTTTAGAGGCAGAGTTAGGGGCAGGTTGACGAGGAGTAAGTATAAGGGGGGTAGTTTGGATTTAGTGGCGCAACAATTGGTTCTGTTTATGTAAACGAAGTTATTATCGTCCACTGCTTATTATTTAGTGACCCACTCTTTCGAATAAACCTGTAATTCGCAGTTTATACGAGTTTTATTCAAGGGTTTACTCCTCTTCCAATTAAATAAATTAAATACGATATGCTTCACATGTATGTCAATATGGATTGAGTTAAAGATAACGAAATAAAATCGTGCACGTTTACTGTTAGCTGCCTTTGCCGGGGTAGATCATTTGAACATATAGAATACATTATTTAAAGTTTATGAAACTGGTAATGAGTTTGCGTAGCTACTGTACATTCGACTTCGTGCTAATTAAACTATCGGATGACCTAAAAATAGACTTCTTTTCGATCAGTATCATGTTACATGTTTATGAAGAGAAAGAATCGGCGATTTCTTTATTTCATAATATTACTCGCTGACAATATAGATAAGGCAGCAGAAGAAAATGGTGACGTTGCAACAGTAATAAAATTTACGATAGTGCAGAGCTCAGAGACGTGTTTATGCTATAATCTGGTGAGTCTTTCATGAAAGTGTTGCATATTTGGTATCAGTTAACGTCAACAAGAGTATGGCGTTATGGGCTGAGTACCAGAAAACCAAGACTCCCGACTTTTCTACCATTTCAGCTTCACCTTCGCTCTCATACACTAAATTTGGCTAATGGCCTGATTTTCTTTTTGTCATACGATAATCGTTAAACGGAATTTGAGTTCAGACACTATTAGTATAGACAGATTTGTTAAAAGTTCACCATAATTATAAGCACTTATTATTTATAAAAAATTCGGTTCTTGATGATGGACAGCGTCAACTGTATTTACTGTTGCTCCCAATTTCTGTATCAATAGCAGTATTTATTGTCGGTATGTCTAATAAAGATCTTGAAACAGTGGTATGTTAACTGTTAGAACGCATCATATGAATCAAACTCAATTATTGAATGTATTGTTATTCTGGTAATTGGTAGGGGCGCGCTATTTCTAACGAATAAACTGGCGGGACGATAAATAATTCAAACTCTGGAATTTCAAAAAAATTGTAAGCAAGATCAAAGCTTTTCTTCGAGTAAAAATCAAACATGTCTGAGGAATGTCGCGTATACAAAGGCCTATAAGTTACCTAAGACTGGTGGGGGGAGGAACCTTTGCAGTAAGCAATGCGCTGGGACAAATAGAAACAATCCATAGTTGTAAATGCCATGGTTCTATTCAGGATGAATTAAAATATTAGACATCCGTAAGCCTTTAATTGTCGTCTCAGCAGTCCAATGGTGCCAAACCTAAAAAAATCATTTTACTGCTGTTCTACATAGACAAATGTCATATGCCGGGTTTTTACAACAGCTATCTAGAGTCAATTCTTATGCAATCTTCTTAGACCGATACAAGAGAATATATGCAATGTGCCAATCCCCTGTCAGGTAGAGCAAGTTAATCCACAAATACTCTCATCAAGGTATCACAAACTCGTATAATGTTCATTCATATCTGTGAATGGGTAACTCAACTTACCCCCACCATCAAGTTTGAGAATGTCTTCTTCAGTTACAGCCTGTACTTTATCATCATCATATTTTATCCAATTGTCTGTTGGCAAAGAAAGTAATGAGTACAAACTGTTTTCACATGCGCTTATCTGAGTGTATTAAAACTCACCCGAATCTTCCTGACGCACCCAAGCTAAGTAATGTCCTGGAGATAGTATACATAGTTATACAAAACATTAACATGGCTTATCAAATTAAAGAGAATATACATTCCATTTTAGCGTACCTGAATCCGCCAGCCTGCCCCTATGTGTCAGAACAGCACCTAGCTCGTACAACCCAGTGACGTTTGCCCCAGCATCTTTAGCTAATTCTGGATCGATCAACTTTCTCACTTCTTCAGCTTCAGCAGCAAGTTTTTCCTGTAGTTCGGTCTTTTCTTTATCACCTATATTTTTCCCAACTTCAAGTTGTTTCTATACGAACAAACAGTACCCGTTGAGTAAAAGTACACCTCACACAATCACACGTAACAAAACGTTCAACCGACCTTGACTTCTGCTTTATGTTTCTCGTATTCAATTAGTTGATCCTTAACTGGTGTAAGCTTTGCTTTCAGTTCATCAGTACAAAAATCAGTCACATCTAAATCGAGCGTAAATCTAACTTTACGCAGAATCTTAGCATTCACTTTCGTCGTTTCTTTCCAACGGTTTCTTACAAAGTGAATTGTAAGATAGTATGGCAAGCGACTAATACGTCTCCCGCTTTCGTCCAGATCCTTTATGAATAATCGAAAGGTGAACAATTTTAATTGGTTATTAGAGAATACAGATGGCACTATGTATGTAATAACTTTCAATACCTGTAATATGCCGGAGTGCATGTAATTTGTTGCTATATAAATACGGTCATTAGATTAGACATGCCGTCTCCATTGAGAAAGAAACCACGAGTCAAACCTGACGTATCGACCAACACACTTACTATTCGATATATGACAGCTCAACCTGCTAAAAGACTCGCTAGTAACTGCTGGCGCCGTCTCTGATGATCCATCCTTCTTTGGACTGACACGAGACGAATAACACGTCCATATCATTATTCTTTCTTTTTTTTTTTTTCAAAACTATTCAGTTAACTATGAAAGTTGCCTTACGTAACAGTGTATCGTCCCATCATGTATTGCTCGACATATCGCTTATTTACCGGCGTTGAAGACGAGCCCGATGATGCTGAAGCATTTGCATTGTCGGTACCCGTATCCTGCTGGTCATTGGGTCGAGCAAGACTGGGGTTTTGCAAGTTGGATACAATAATAGTCCAGCACTCATCAGCGTCTTGCTGTATGTAGTTATGGTTACGTTGTTCAGCAAATTGGGGATACGCGACTCTAAGGGTCTTGTTATGTTGAACATACATAAATACCAGAAATTGCGTCATGGCAAACAAAACAAGTAAATGGTTACAGCGCTGATGTTATACCCGCACAAATTCTTCTGGTGCATATTCATCTGTCGTTTGATTCAATTGGCGATATAGATTGCGTAAGGACGAAGTCAAGTTGATTTGCGGCTCATTGTAACTGAGGGAAGGCGTAGATGGTGATGTTAACAAAAGAAACCGCAATCGATAGATCGAATGTAATAGTTAATTGTACTTGTTGAGAGATTCCTGAAGCTCTGGCATAATCCGAAGACACTGCAGAGTAGCATTCAAATAACAAGTGTTTCCCAGATTCCTCAATCCTGTCGGCAATTTTAGCTTCGGAGGCAAGCAAGTTTGTTAGAAAGTTTCCAATACTCCAAAAAGATACGATTAAAAAACTCGACTCACAGTTTCGGCAAGCTCCTGATCAGTCATTGTCTCAACAAATCGTGTTTCTTCCGCGGGTGGCTGAGGTAATTCTCCAACACTTCCCGTCATCTATCTCAACGTAATACAAATTTCAGATATTACTCCTGCCAACAAAGGAAGTGCTATATTCATACCATAAACACTGCGCCCTGTACATTCAGGAAGTTTTGGGAAATGAGTATTAAATAAAATGCATCGACAGCAAACGATTACATTCGTCTTACATCTTTAATTTTCAACGTGTTAAGGATCGTATCATCCTAAATTGAGGACAGAATATCAATCAGCTATGCCTCGCATAGTAGAATTAAGTAGTAATAGCAACATCAACACATACTTTGAGAGTTACTCCTTTGATCATTAGTGTCTGTCGTGCTGGTTCAACACCAGTCATACTAAACAGCTGGTATTTCAGGACGAGAGCAGCTTCGTCCGTATCTATATCCAATTCATACTTTTCCTTTTTTCCACCTGACGACGACTGTGCCACAATACAAAGCCTTAAATTTTCGTCGCCAAAAGACAGCACCACAAAAAGATATGACCTACGGGATCCTACCTTTAACCATTAACATTATAGCGGAGGTAGAGTTTCCTTCATCGAATACAAACGGATATTTATCTTTACTTTAAAGTCACGTGTCAATTGCATTTGTGAGACAAAAACTTTTTTTTTAATTAAACATTTAATATTAATACATTTTTGCATGATTCTTTTTTCATCGGAGTTTTCCTACAGTTACAAACACGTCAATAAAAATTGGGGAGGATAAAATTTCAGGGCTAATCCAATATCACAATTAAACATCGTTTATTCGCAAAAATATGGACAGACAATTGGATATGCAACCCCTGCCGAAACAATTAATCAATAAACAGGTTTCCTGTAACTGTAATCCAATTATTTTCTACATCTTAGTGACCGGAATTCGGCACAACCTAAAGTCTATTGATTGTAATGTTGGCCGCAAAGCAGAAGCGATATGCAGATCATGATGTTGAACGTGGACTTCAAAAGGAGTTTGTTTGTAGGTCAATACTCAACAAACTCCGGAAGGAACTCCGAAAGAAAACTCCGACTTTTTTCCCCCCTCATCATGTACAACCGATAAGAAATGTGGTAATGAACATAGTATTACTAATATTATGAACGTCGTGTTGGCAAGCAGCAGGAGATACGCAGCTAGATAACCGCATTAAGAGGCATAGTTAGACTCGAGGTATGAAACAAAACACTCAAGACTTTAACGGAGGCTTGGTTAAAATCAATTAGTCCGAAAAAGCATAATTGTAGGAGTTATTACTATTATTATGATCGGGTTAACTATTGTTTAGAAATGAACCCAAAGCAGAATTAGAATGGGCAATTGCAGTTCGGAAGAAGAATGAAAAGACAAGGTTGGTGATATATTAAATACATCATAGAAACTGATATGATCGGTTAGTAAAAATATAAACTTGCTCAACTTTTGCTGCTTTTAAATTTGAATTGCAAATCACAAACTATGGTGTGGGTCCTATAGTGAATGAACCCATTATCATTACTAAGTTAAATTTATATAGTAACTACCACACCATTTTTTCGAAAAATACAGTTAATTAGCTTCAAATTGATACCAAAATTACAAGTACATATACTATACATATTAAATGTGACATATCTTTGCATTTCGTATACTCAATACCCAATCTTTCATCTTCTCCAAACACTCCGCACAAAGAAAGTGTACGTAGTCTTTCGCCGTTGCCCGGTTGAAAGAACCAAAAAACCAACTTACCGATAAACAAAATAATAATTCTTTATCCTCAAACTCCTACAGTGAACGGAAGAGACACAACAAGCAATCACCAGAAAACTTACAAGAGCAGGAAAATGTTGATATAGTATTAGTATAAACAATATACGATAGAGATTTTTTGTTGTACTTATTATTATACCTTTGACGACTATTACTTTGTTCTGAAGAACGCCAAACTTTCCTCTCACTAAAAAGAGTGATCTTTCCAGTAAAGAAATTATTGGCAAAAAAATCGTGTAAACTTAAATAGTGTAATATCTTTTAGACGTTGCATTCTTAAAATCATTGCAAGAAACTATATTACATTTTTGGAACCTACAGTGTGTCAAAAAAAAACCGGACTAAGTTTTTCATTCACTGTGCCACAATAAATGGACCAAATTACATGATTTATAGCTTATTTAAAAGCTGAAAACCAACAGATTTTATTAACAGCAATTAAGATTCTCTTTCCGTGATTTTCAATAAGTTCGCAACAACGTCTCATTGAGCCTACGAGATTTATTACAACGGTATCTGGAATATTGCTCCACTCCTCCACCGTAAATTGCTCCAGTTTGCTGATATTTTGAGGCATCCATTACCTTTCACAATGGCCATAAATTTTCAATAGGGTTTAAGTCAGGATTATTGGATGGCCAGTCCATGACTTCTGGAGAATTCTCATCAAAAAAGGCTTTAGCAAGATGACTACTATGCTTGGGGTCATTGTCTTGCTGTCAGTTTATTTATATTGTCATATATTGTTGAGAGTGGTATGCTTGTATGTGCATGTAGCTCGCGAGCATTGCACACTCCCTCGTTCCACAAATATAATAAAGTTTTACGTTGTAATTCTTTCTTGGTAGCAGACATTGTGTAATAATGTATCAAAAAGGTTATGTATGGATGCAATAAAAAAAGAGAGTTTAAATTGATCCCTAGATTTTTGTGTTTATTTTGAATTAAACTCGTCGCAAATTGGGTTGCAAATTGGGAATTCTAGACGCGGTTTAGTGACGTATACAAATTTCCGGGATTTTTTGACACACTGTATATTAATATCAGCTTCTTGATAATCTTCAGGAAGGAAGTGGTAATTTACCAACAGCCGAATTAAGATATTCAGATACCTATGAGTGAAATTCGCGTTGTCTTTCTGAAAGTCTTTGTCATGAGGTTAACTAATTTAATTACTGATGCCCAGTCTTCTTTGTAACTACAGCCTTGGTACAGTTTCCTGAAAAAGTATAAAAAAATTGAGTGATATGAGGTAATAGAAATGTCCGGATAGTGAGATTATAATTATATATGAACCAAACAAAGTGAACATGATGCCATAGAAAGATTTCAAGGGCTCAAATCCCAACCCTCATTTTATTTTTACCATGTCAATTAATAATTAACTCCCCCGTTTGCATTTCTACCCTATCAAACCGATTAATTAAAGGTAAAATATCAAAAACTAATAATATTATTTATCCAAAAAATCTTGATTGTGCAGTATCAGCATAATTTGTTCAGCTTACAAAACAGTTGGGTAATGTTTGATTTGGTAACACAATCTTGCCATTATAACCTATTTAAAAGGGTTGTCCGATTTATATTTTAGAAGAGTGATGTTTCTTATTTACATCTGTTTGATAGACAAATTAATTGTTTCAATCCGCAATCGTAACATATTTTCCAACATCGACATTGAAGCAATTTATCCTATAAAAAAAAAAGCAAACAACCGTATCCAAAACGGCCTATTTTTACTATTGAACTCTTTTGTGGGTTGTTGATAGGACTTGTCATTGATCCTTTGCTCACGACTAGCCAACTCTATGATATTATTATAACTCAAATGCTTAAAGCAATAATTCACGCAATCAAATTAAAATCTCAAACAACACAAGCGCTCCGTGAGCGAAAATGTCGGAAACCTTACATTATTTATCAAAAAACCCGAGCTGGACTCGGTCTTATTTAACAAAGTGGTTATAAAATTCCACAAATCTCGCGAACCAAAAAAGCATCATTGTTTTTATTCTAAAAGGACAATTTTTGAGAAAAATAATCGATGCAATTCAAAGATGGGTAGATAAAGAAAGGAGGAGTGAAGAAGAGAATGTTAATAATAGTATCAATGGTATGTATCATAGATGGGGATATTCCCTAATGACTTTGGGTCCGAGTATTACCTTTATGCAATCGCTCTATATGTAAAGAGTAATATAATAAAAAGAATCGATTGTTGTAACTAAGCCTGATTATTGTACTTGATTTTTGCCAGCTATCCCAGTCATTGACAACAAAGAGTTCCCAATAACGAGTTATATACAATACACGATATTTATTTCACTTCAAAAAGCGTCATTTTCATACGTGTTCTAATACTGGCAATCAAAACATTGTGATATGCAAAGAAGAGATTTTCCCCTTGTCTTCATTCTTTTTTGTCTCTGACAAAGACACGGAGGGTTCTCAATCTATTTTGCTAAGTGTGCTGGATTCAAAAACTATAGTTGATTCGGTGCTTCAATACGGAAAAGATCACATGTTTGTGTAAGTAAAACGCATAAACAGGAGCCAGATCGCGACTCTTCTTTTATTATCATTCACTAAATCACAAAAACATCTAGACATGGTCCCAACGCGTAGACGCAAGAGTAATGGAGAGAGGAGAGTTCTTTTGAAATATGGTAAACAAAATCCTGAAGCGACCTTCAAAGAGATGGAAGAAGCATATCAAAAACACGTTGAAGCGCATGGTAAGCGAGCAATGACGGGGAGAAGACTGTTACTGGTTTTGTGCCATATTGCAAGAGACGCAGTTGGGCGTTATTAGTTGGGGCAGGAGACAAGAAGCAGAGTCGTAGCAAAGGTTAAGTTATATGTAACTCGTTTGAAAGGCAAGTAAGCAAGATACGATACATTGGGTTAATAGAGTAGAAGCAATGGGAAGGATAACAGTTGAAATGCATTGCGACATATACAGTAAGCATAGAGCAAATGTTATCATATCTATTTTCGTCCGTCCATCCATCCATTTGAACAACTTGATATGCTGTTTACAACTAATTATTACCTGCTTCAGTTTTTTTTTTTTGTTACACATTGTATATATTTTATTGAGACCATTGATTAATCTCATCTTTATCTTGATATCATTTTATACTTTTTTTTTGAGCTTGACAAATCGGAAGAAAAGTGGTTAGCCAACCTTAATAAATTAAGAAACCACAGAGATAACTTTCGGGTATTCTGCTTTAATGATATGAATTATTTGCATGGCACGAATATCATGTATTGCTAAATATTGTAGTAAGGAAAAAGAAGATAATATAATATACTCCAAAGCTACCTGTTATGGAAACCCAAGCACCAAATTGACGGAGGAAGAAGTGACGTCAACAAAAGGGTGAGTCATAGTTTGTAAAACAAATTAAATTGTGTAGATAATTGACATATTACATATGATAAAATCAAGCAATAAGATTTAACAAATATATTACTTGAAGATGATGGTAAAAGTAATACTACCAACGTTGCGTATTCTGGAAAGAGCATGGATGATGGGTCAATATTAGAGTCAGCAGATTCGAGAATGAATCAAGAAGGGAATAATTTGCATTCGTCATCATCTGTTTCATCTCCTAACTTTAATCGTGAAGGTAATTAAGCATCTTAGTTTCTGCAACATTTCTGAGAAAATCTAATTACACATTTATACATATGTAGATATCGAGCCTGAATATTACGATGCCAAGAAACAAACAAAAAAATTTAATTCGTGGGAAAAATACAATCGACAAGATTGATTTTAGAAATACTTCAAAGAAGGATGTGAATAAATAGTGTGGTTGTACTACTTATGATGCCAGTGTTATGCGGTCTAGTTTTTTATTATATGATGGAAAAGGATAAAAAGTAGAGATAAGTTATTACTATGTATGTAAAAAATAATTGCATAAGCCACAACTACCAACCCTTTTTTAGCTCATACATGTAATTTTCAAATAATTGCTACAGACAACTTACTGGATAATTAGTAATGATGTAATGTTGTATTGCATCAAAAACGTAAAAATAGCTTTAGATTAGCATGTGAATGTAGCCTAAATAAAAATAACGTCTTGATGTAACCGAAAAGAGTTCTATTTGCAGAATTTAGATTTGACCTATCATATCGTATCTACAAAAGCATATAGATACATGAGAGCTAGGGTAGTCATGTGCCTACATATACCTATTATACTGATCGTATTGCAACAAAACCACATTTGACCACGTGAATTCAGAATGGCGCAGTACTGATCTTGTGACACTATTATTAAAGCTGATAATGATAACGGCGCGACTTGCTCCCTCTCCTTTGTCGTCCTAGGACTTTATCTGTTTTCACTTCAACTCTGGTAAGGTCCTTTCATTTAGATTACGTAACTGGACTAGGGTACACGCTACGGGGCAAGTCTCCACCTAATCGAGCGGTGTGAGTTGAAGCCCCGCACACGCCTAACCCTGTACAGGTGTCGCGCTACTGTTTTCAGGCATAATTCTTACTGAGGACAGAGCACCGCTATGGGGTACGCCTCCACAGTTTTGGCTGAGTGGAGTTGAAACCCTGGGTCTGATCACCCTAACCGTGCAGCGACAACCACCTAGTTCTGCGCGTGCTCATTTGCTTCATAACCACATTGCCACGATGCGCTTTCAATAGACAAGCTTATAGATCGAATAAAGTGATTGAAAAATAGTTTGTTAAATTAAGATCAAGAAATAAGCAAAAGAGATTATTTAGCAACCAAAAAAAATTACTAAAAAACAAAAAGAAAATAGATTATGCAAACTCAAAAATAGTAAGCAAAGCTAAAGAAAAAACTAAGGAGAAATTCCAAACTTTTATTATTCAAAAAAAAAAAAAAATAAGTAAATTATATGAGATTAGATATAGAACTCTAAAGATAGCTATCTTTAACTTTGATACTAATACTGCTCTTGCTACTCATCAAATGGTAGCTCATAACACTCCTGATAAATAGAAAATAATTATTTAGATTCCTTGCTTTATGTTTCTTCAAGTTTTCGCTTTTTCTTGGTTCATCATAAGTTGGTGTTAATATTTGTTTATTGATTTTTTATTTTCACTCTTCTTGATAATAATTTGTTCTTTATCCAGATATTCCTGAAGAATGATATCATTGATTTTAAAAATGTAAGGAGCTCCTTCAAAAATACTCCTAATAGCTCATAGTGCTGTAATTCTTTGGTCCATGATGGATTTAATGTAATTTAGTTTCATATGAATGTTACATATATACATAATTCATATTAATCACAAGAAATATGTCTGTTTCAACTCGCTCATTTTGGATGTTAGTCATACTATGTATGTAAAAAAAATCTATTTTATGCATAGGCCACAGCTATGCCATCATTGTGTTACTGATTATCCAGTCATATCAACCCTTTTTTAGCTCATACATGCTTGCCTCCAAATAATTGCTACAGACAACTTACTAGATAATTAGTAATGATGTAATGTTGAGGTTATTGCATCAAATAGCTTTAGATTAGCATGTGAATGTAGCCTAAATAAAAATAACGTCTTGATGTAACCGAAAGAGTTCTATTTGCAGAATTTAGATTTGACCTATCGTATCGTATCTACAAAAGCATATAGATACATGGAGCTAAGGTAGTCATGTGCCGACAGATACCTATTATACTGATCGTATATATGCTCCGGGTACGTACCTGGTATGTGTTGGTATAATAATATAAATAATAGTTTATTCAAACAAAAAATTATAAACAACAAATCGAGACCGCATGCTCCATACATGTATGTATCTCTAAAACACTGTTTACAAGAATGTGGATACTGTATGATCTGTGAACCACACGTTTCTTCAATTAGAAACAAAGAAAACAACACCAAACCCTTTTAAGAAATTTCAAAGCTCATAAATCAATAACTTCCTTCATTTGGAAAAGACCAATTCTAAATTTACAGCCAACGCCATCTAAATCAACCAATCAAAAATAATGCCCGAAAGTGTAAGCATTGACGCAAAGGATATTAAGCCTCTTACATTTTCACCAGAACATTTTCTGACGCGACTAATGTTATTCGAGAGTTCAGATTTTCCCACATTGAACCGATCTGCCAATGTTCATGTGATGTCAAATGGAGAACAAATACAGTGAAACAGGGATTGACATCTGATACAGTATTTCGTTGTTTGTTGATTGGCAAGTACTGTACATACATAATAATGGGCATACAATCGGCAACAATTTGACGTCTCGTCGATCGTATACGAGTCCATTAGCGACAACATTCAAAGTACAGGGATGCAACTAAATAATAATAGATAGATTGATAGATAAGACATTCGCCGTGATCATTCGTTAGCTGTAAAAAAAAGTTCTCGATGACCATAACAGTTTAATTAACCCAACAATTGCGATCCCACACTTATTCTCTCACATAACGTTTTGTTAGGGGTTGGGGTTAGGGTTTTGTAAAGATTGATGGGCGCTGCATACTTTCCGCCAAACGTTTTAATCATAATTTCGGCTGGATTGTTTTACAGTTATTGTCTTGCGGCCCCTTAACGATTATGTTTTTAAAGTTCCACTAATCTCGAGGTGCCACGAAGCTACACAAAACTAACTCCCAAGTGTTGGGGAAATCACATCCGAATAAACAATAATAAATTTCTCTCAAACTTCATTATTCCTTTGATAACCTTTGCGTTTACCCCTCAACCTCACGTAACACAACAGCATTAATCTCACCTGCAAAAGAAAAAAAAACTCAGCCTGACCAACATTACAATCTATTTTTTATATAGACCGTTTGCTACTTTCCACGACTTTTCCTACAGTTAATATTACACACACATAACCCTTCCCCTTGTAGTTTCCCTCTCCTTGTTCTCTTAATACCAGCCAGGCTCCCAATCTCAACCTCTCAAATATGTCTATTGTTCTGTCAGATCGTCAACGAGACGAACTGTAAGTACAGACTAATAATGCTATCACCCGTATTGTGCTTGTGTTGTCATCCAGAGCCTTGCACCTGAGAAACCCACTTCTCAGTCACTTGTCACACTATCGATATTTCTAATAAACTTTTATTAAGCTTGTAATTTGTATACAAATTAACCCATTGCGTGTGATATCGTATTAACTGTGATATCTTGAATCTATTCAAATACACGATAAGTCATAAAGCCATCCTCGATTATCTGCATGCAAATGGCTATTCAGAATCTTTTAATTCGCTCAGACTCGAAGCACATCAAGATGACTTCAATTCTGACCCCAAACAGAAATACTCTGGATTACTTGAAAAGAAATGGACTTCTGTTATCAGACTGCAGAAGAAGGTACAATTTGAATTTCTTTTTTTTTTTTACATCACATTTCCAAACAGACGATCAAGTTAACTACTTATTAAAGATGCCTAGAAATCACAGCATAGAGTATTTGCTTACCCGTTAACTTAAAAGCTGAAATATTCAACATTTAGTATTAACATTCGCATTATTTAGTATTTATTTCATTGTTCAAGTTTAGATCAATCTTTGGCTATTTTCATCCATCAACTAACAGGCTTTTTCTTTACTATTTTCTCCCTTCCATAATACTCTCTTTAGATAATGGATCTCGAGAATAAAATTACACAGATGCAAGAGGAATTGTCTACTGCAACACCTAGGAAACCTACTAGCGCTGTGGATTGGGTTCCGCGTGCGCCAGAGAAATACGCTCTAACTGGTCACAGGAACCCCGTCACACGTGTTGCCTTTCACCCCGTATTCTCTGTGCTGGCATCGGCATCTGAAGATACTACTATAAAGATTTGGGATTATGAGACTGGCGAATTCGAGCGGACGCTCAAAGGACATACGAAAGCAGTCCAAGATATCGCTTTTGATCCCAAGGGCAACTTTTTAGGTACCACTATATATGATGATACGTAACTCGTATCCAGACATCAGTTTGTGTCGACGCTAACCGGGACTTGCTACAACTGACGATTTGCTTCTCGCCCTGCATTTTAGTATCCTGCTCTGCAGATCTGACGATAAAAGTTTGGGATCTGCAGAATGACTACAAATGCGTGAAAACTTTATATGGTCACGATCACAGCGTTTCGTCCGTTGCTTTCCTACCATCTGGAGATACAATTGTTTCGGCATCGCGAGACAAGACAATTAAACGTTGGGAATTTGCATCGGGGTTGGTAATTGCCCATTGAGCTGCGGGAGGGGAAATGGGAATACTGTTCTCCTGTTTTATAATTGACAATTACCGACCGAATAGGTACTGTGTGAAGACTTACTTTGGCCATCTGGAGTGGGTACGATCTGTATCCCCTAGTGAGGACGGAAAGTGGTTGATTACTAGCTCTAATGACCAGGTATGTATTGCGCATTTTGAAAGAGTTAACGTTGAAAGGCTATCCAGGAAAGCATAACAAACACTATTGTAATTAATATGCTAATGACACTTTTTATTTAGACTGCACGCCTGTGGGAAACAGCTAATGCCGAGTGTAAAATGGAATTTAGAGGTCACGATCACGTTGTTGAATGTGCGATATTCGCGCCTACTGATGCATATCCTTTCATAAGAGAGATGATAGGTGTCGAAAAAGATGTACGTGTAACTAAACTTTTTTTTTAGATTGAAATTGCTAAATTCTAATTGCATGTACACTTTTTTTTTTCTTGTAGCCCAAGGGAGCAGCCAAGGCAGAACCTATGCCCGGACAATATATTGTAACTGGTTCGAGAGACAAGACCATCAAGATCTGGGATTCTACAGGACAGTGCGTTAGGACTCTGGTAAGCACATTATTTCTTGCATGACTCTCCCTCTCTTTTTTTAACTTGCTATCTAAAGGGGTGTTATATCATGGTATTAAATGCCTTACTCTTTCACTCTCACTTTTTGACTGTGTAGATTGGTCACGATAACTGGGTGCGTGGTCTCGTCTTCCATACGAGTGGGAAATATCTTATTAGTGCTTCGGATGATAAAACGATCAAGATATGGGATATCAAGACTGGTCGCTGTTACAAGACCGTTGAAGCCCATGCACACTTTGTGACTTGCATTGCGTTTAATCATGGGAACCCTGTGGTTGCTACAGGGTCCGTAGATCAGACAGTGAAGATCTGGGCTCCGTACAGGTGAAATCGGAGTATAATAGGGAATTATTGGATTATGTATTGTGGAAGTATAAAAATGTCTTACTGAATAGAGATAAATTTGAGAATATATGTGTGAGACATGCGATAAAATTGGTTTATATACATATATATCAATTATATAGACTTGTGTTATTTCATATTTATGTAGTTTCCCTGATAGTAAGGTAAAGGTTGTGATTTAAGTTTCTTTTTACCACTTTCCTCCTCCACAACGCTTATACACAAAATCATAGCTTAAAAATGTATTTATTCCTTGCGGCACAAGATGTATTATTGAGAGCGGTGCATTTTCGATATTAGAGGGAATTATAACAAGCAACCTGTTGCTGTGTGTCTATTACTATGACATGTGTTGAGTGAACGCGAAATCAAAAGTGAAACCTGGCATAGGGAAACGGGAGCATAGTAATAGGGGAAATCTGATGAACAGAGACACATTTGTATGCACTTGCTACCTTTATACTTGAGAATGATAGCACTGAGCTCTCTCACACATCCTGTGACGATGCATCGTTGTCTGTAGGTCTTCATGAAGAGATTCGTTTATTGACAATTTTGCTTGTCAAATTGCTTCAACAACATGCTTGTTCGCATAACATTAAGGCAACAAAATAGTTCTTAAAATTTAACCGCCTTTTTACCTTCCCCAACATTGTCAATTGGTGAGAGAGTAATTACAAGTAGAAAAAAGAACGAAATAGATAAACTCACTTTTAAACGGAGACGAGTGAAAAAGTAGATAAACAAAAAAATTCTGAGAGTGAGTAAGGATAGTCGCATGTCACTACAATAAAACACTACAAAAAAAGTATGTATAAATAGAATCAAAAAAAAAAAAGAGTTTGTAATCGATCTCGCATTAATGGTTTGTTGCTACTACTATGCTTATTCACTCTCTATAATCCCAAACACCTGTTCCCATAATTACAATACATAGTCCACTCCTGATGTTAACAAAAAAATCCACCAATATAAAGAATAAATACGACATCTGTCATTACTAAAATCACAGTTATCTATCCAAATAGTCTCTGATTCATGAATAATTAGACATTATTTCATCACTGTCCATTAACACGTCATAGTCTACTAACATTTATCTAACATCAATTTGTTTCATCTTTTGTGTTTGCTGTCCTTTATATTCCCCCATTCCCCACCCCGCCCAAAACTGTCTAATATCTATTCCAACTTCTACCCGGGTCTTCACCACCCGATGCAATTCCACTATCATGTGGAGGCAATTGTCCTGAAGTCTGACTATGATGTGCAAGACTACGACGATCATCGTGACTTTGATGTAAAGAAAGTGGTTGGTGTTCTGTATTGTGATGTTGCGGATAATGGTGAAGCGGATGGTTATCGGAAGGCGTGTATGTATGATCGTTCGATAAACTTCTCTTCATCGGATGCTGTAGTGAGAATAGACTAGATATTGGAGGAAGAGTGACATTTGAATTGCTGGGTGGCGGAGAAGGCCGACGTCGCGGCAGGGGCACTGAGAATGTACGTGTCGGTGTTGGAATATGACGGTGCTGCGGATATTGTTGTTGATTATGATATTGATATGACTGTTGTTGGTGCTGCTGCTGTTGTTGTTGTTGTTGTTGTTGTTGTTGTTGTTGTTGGTGCTGTTGTTGGTGCTGTTGTTGTTGTTGTTGTTGGTGTTGTTGTTGTTGTTGATAATGATAATGTGGATAATGTTGTTGTTGTGGCTGTTGTTGTTGCTGCTGTTGATGTTGATGTTGCTGTTGATGTTGATGTTGATGTTGAGGGTGTTGGTGTGTTATTTTATGTGTGTTATTGACTGAATTCATGGATGGTGATACGGGTAATGAGTGTTGCGACATTCGCGGACTATCAGTAAATTGTGCCGTATAACTAGGTGTTGCTATATTGTTCGCACTGCTACTAATGTTATTTTTGTTATGATTATCGAGTGGAGCTATAGGATGGGGAGCTATAGGATGGGGAGAATGGGGAGCTACAGGATGGGGAGGATGGGGAGCTATAGGATGGGGAGGATGGGGAGCAATAGGCTGATAATGTATTGTACCATCGTTTGAGTTTTGAGGCGGGGTTAGAAGTCCGTTGGTTGTAGACGAGCGACGGCGAGTATAGCTATGAATAGAACGTGATTTAGGTGATATCGAATAATTTGGGTGGGATGGATAATAAGGTGTTGATGTAGAAGATAAAGAGGAATTAGAAGATAAAGAGTCATTTCGACCATAGTGCGGTAATGTCGATGATGTCGATGATCCTGTTGTCATTGCTGTTGTCGATCGAGATGGGAGTGAATATTGAGAAGAATTTGTTCTGGGAACATCAAGAGATGCAGAAGACGCTAGAGGATGTCGACGTGGAAGAATGTATTGATTAGATGTATCAACGGATCGTGATGCTGTTGGAAAGCTAGCTGATCGAGGTGGTTTTGGAGACGAAATAGGTGAGTAGATACTATTACTGTAATGCTGCGGTTCACTGAATAATTCTCCCGTGTAAACAGGGTGGGGTGAATCCGGGTCGCGAGAGTATGATGTTGAGTGATCAACTAAGGACGCTTTGTTATCATCTCGAACAGATCCATAACTGTGATCATCGTAATTATTGTATGTGGATGGGTAGTCGGATAAATGTCGAGGCAGATAGGGTGATCTCATAGTACTGCCGTCTTGCGTCCGTTGTTGATGTGGATATTCAATTGCAGGCTTCAATGGGTGTTGAATGGATGTTGGCGATGACATGGCTTGGCCACGAAATACTCCACCGGGTACATCAACTGATGGGAATGTCGGCCGTCTTTTCTTTTTTGCGTTTTCTTCTTCTAACAAGTCTTGATCTTCACCTGATTCTGTCAGTCGAGTAGGAGGTCGTTTCCTAATTTAACATTGATTACGAACAAAAGCATTAACGTATTGGACTGACATGATATAATATAATTCCATAATAAATGACAATGTAAATATACATTTGTATTCGATGTTCTTTTCTTATCCTTATTTTTACTCCTTGGTCCGAAAATGATCTTGATAAGAAGGTTGATTCTGACATTCCAGGGAAAGTCTTTGGAGAATATACATTGAATACATCGGAAAGGTTGGACAAAATATGGACAACTTCATCCCTGTTAAGAAGGCAAATGAATAATATAATGTTAGTGATGAATAAACACATAGATAAATACATAGATAAACTAATACATAAACTAATACATAAACTAATACATAAACCCATTTATGAACACAAATGTACATACCCTATGATTTCAAAAAGACTGAATCGTAGGCGATATCGACCTTCTACACGCACTGATATGTCACCAAACACAAAGAAGCCACCATCTGAAAATAATAGACATGACGTGAGTACGGAAACAAAAGGTGTACATAAAATGGTAACGATAATTCAGACATGATTTCATCATGCCAACAATTACCCTGGTTATCGATATCTTTTAATTTGTGTAGAGATGAAACCACGGTGCCTGTCAATACTCGTGGAGACATATTATAATGTTCATTATTCTCCTGTGCCGGGTGTACAAGATTAGCACACATGAAATAATATGGACTCTGGAGGAAATTCCTAATGAGAATGAGAATGAGAATGAGAAATGATGATGACAAGGCATAGAGTATAATCATTGACTGTTGACACAAGGCGGTGGGCAGTACTCACTGAGCTTCCTCACTGTATCCTTCGATTTTCAGTTGAATAATGGGCGGAGGGTCAACAGGTCTTCTGTCTACAAACAGTAATCGAGAATGATGAAATTGCGTTTCGTGATAATCAATTGTGACAACAGGACAGTGCTATCATTGTCGTTACCTCTCTCTTTATTACTACATAAGCGTGCTTGCTTTGGTTGTTGCCGTATGATCAACTTGTATTGACTACTACTCGAGGAAATGTAAAGTGTTAACAATAGCTCGTTATAATCACAGACACAACCAGTGTATGCGATCTCTGTTCACCAAGCTACAATCATCTGTACCTGTCCAATGGTCGCTTTCGATTCCAAGTGCTAACAAAGTTATAGGTGTTTAATACAGGGTTCTTTGACATTACGATTACGAAATATACTTTTGTCGGTAGACGTAGTATGAAATATAAAGAGATGATTCGGGAATTTGGCGCTTAGCGCAAGTGTGTATATAAATAAATTATATATACCACTTCACAATAAAATAAAGGGGAGAGTAAAAGAGGGAAAGGAGGGGGAGTGTGGTAGTGTTCGTGTGGAATGTGTCGTGCGAGTGTTTGTATGTCTCAATGTGTGTAAGTTTGAGAGTCAATGTAGAAGAGAGAATAATAATAATAATAATAATATTGGAAGTAGTAGTAAGTAATAAGAGTAGTTAAAGTAGTAATAACAAGAAGAACAGCAGAGTAATAATAGTAATAAAATAAAGATAGTCACAGTCAGTAACTATAATGTATTTAAAATAAAGAAAATAAGCAGCAGCTTAATAATAGCTGTGCTGTCAACCCGAGTGTCCACCTGGTAAATATAATCAATTTCTTTCCCCCTTAAGTAGTATCGTTATCGGTTGTATTTTAATTTGTATCCAAACCACTCCCTGGAATATTCTTCTTTTTTGTGTGTGTTGTGCCGTGTGCCGTGTGGGTGTGGTGTGTTGTGTGTTGGTGTTGGTGTGGGTAGAGTGTGTGTGTGTGTGTGTGTGTGTAGTATAATCGTTTTCGGCTTGTTTTCGTTTTCAGTCTTGTCGTCGTCGTCGTCGTCGTTTTCGTTCTTGTTGAGTGGGTTGATTGCGTGGTGCAGTTTAGCTGATGAATACTACTTTTTAGAGTAGACGGCGGAACCAGGGATGGGTGATATGAGCCTGGTAAGATAATTTGATAGTAAGAGAACAATTGCATAACGGAGAATGAAAAATCAATAATGCAATAAAAAAGTGTAACACAATTGATCTAAATAATATAATATAATGCATAATGTTTATAAAGTATAAATGCTATATATACAAATAATCCCGAAATACTTATTTATTATCCTTTGCGTACCTTCTTATTGGGTTTCAGAACTGGCCAAGAGCAAAAAGGCATGTCAATCGAAACGCATGAAATAAAATAATTAAAGGGTTAAAAAACGGGCAATCTTGTGGTCTATTTATTGTTAACAATGTTTTTACCCTACCACATAATTAATAATATAAAAATACTTTGTATAGAAAAGCTATTAACGTTTGGCTCGGTTATTGCAATGCTCAAAAAAGAACTTTTTTCTCGAAATATCTCGGCTCCAAACACAAACATATTCGAATGCATAAACCTCAATATAGTAATGTATAGCATACATAAACACAATATATATGTTGGCTTGTGGCCAGCCGGCCAAACGTTTTTTTTTTTTTTTTTATGATCTTCGTACTTAGGCGGATGCAGCTAAGTATAGATTGCATTATTTGTATTACCAACTGCGCGGAGTTGCAATTCCGGGCAGTGACAACAAAGAAAAGTGTCACATTTTCTACCTCTTTATAATCCCCTCAAATACAAACATATTTATTCTATATGTAAGCATGTTACAAACAACAACAACAACAACAGCAGCAGCAACAACAACAACAACCCCGCTTCTGTTTCGAGGTTCGAGTAAATGCTAGATAAAGATGTTAGAGCTGTCCTAAAAAGTAGTTTTACTATCCTCTTTGTTACGAATGATAACAGGTGCACAAATAAATGCATCAGTCATGACAAAGAAAATCAGGGAATCAACTATTTGCTTATTTAATTAACGAGTTTATTACGTCACTCTTAACCTTTAACCATTATTAACACTGCCATTAATATTGTTGCTGTTATTATTATTGTCTATTATTATGCATTAATTAATATGGTAATTTAGCAACTTGCTTGAGGCGCTAAGGGATTGCATGTTAACTTTTTTAGTGCGCAGAAAGACAGCCCCGCTGAATATCTTTCTTTTTAAACTTTTTATTCCCATGCATTGGAATTCGAGAGTGATAACACACAGCACAATTGACGGATTACATTGGTCGCCTTTGTGACTGTCACTCATCAATCATCTTATTTGGCTCCGCCCCCCACTTATCTAGTCCAAAAATTGCTTCTTTCGTATGATTACGAAAGTGAATTATTTGTGTAACGCTTATTTGGAAAATCCCGATTGGCCCAATAGTAATCTTTGAAATTTCTAATGTCGCAAGTTTTTTTTTTCCCAAAACCCGAGAGAATTTTTTTATTCTGCAACGGTTTCTTTTTTCCTGATAACCTTATGTTTTTTAGGTAGAATGAGGTGGGGTTGGCCACGAGATGCCTGTCCCTCAATGACCAATTTGGTTGAATTGACGGCGTATGCCATGCATTTAAAGTAACAAGTGTCAAGTGTCAAGCATACATTTGTGAGAGTGGTATGTGATATAATTGGATGAAACGAATTATGTGTCATTTGCTTCATGGTGTGGCATAGCAAATTAGTGACAATCGGGTGGGGTGCTTGCCTTTGTATAGTAATTACATCGCCACTACAGTGAAAAGTGAAAAGGGGAAATGGCCTATCACTTAAATGCATAATGACGCTATCGTCGATGGAAGCGGGAATTTATCAGTTGAAAGTTGAAAAATCATCACCCGATCATCTTCTATGGCCAAAATGTGCATGACTTTTTTTTGTGAAACTTTGCATCTTATGTATTACAAAACTATAAATAAATGCATATTATTTTAATGAGAGGGTATTTATTCATCCGCACGCCAAATTAGGGTAAACTAACGTTAGCCCAGGGATCCAATAACGATTTCTACTCTTCGTAATGTATAGTTTCCCAGAAACCTTAATTAGGAGTGGGAGAATAAACGAGCATCCCTGAAACTCGGATTTCATGTAACGGTAACCTTTCGTTTGTCAGCAAAGGAAAGAGAATTCCAGTTTGGAATCTCATGATAAAGAACAAAAAACCCCCGCTTCCCCCTCCGCCTCCCCTTCTCCGCATCCTCCCTAACAGTATACTTAACTTCCCACGAGCCCGTGAATAATGCTGTTTTCCACCCACCCCACCCCCCGCGCCACTCTTCCCCTTTCTCTCAAAATGATTGTACCACTTTCTTCATATGTTGGTCTGTGATTTACAGTTCACGATTAAAGATGTTCAACAATTCCCATTGACCAATTTCGTAAATAATCAAGAATAGCAAGTGAAACACGCCCCGTGAAACCAGACGTATGCCATTTATTCCAGATCTGCAAGAATACCCATTTCAGATATCCGTATTGGGCGTGTACAATCGGTTACCCAGGTACGCCCGCCCGTTGGAGATTCTTATCGATCACTGGTCGAAAATACACATCGGTATACAAACACATCGTAATTAGTATGCATGACGACATTGTTTGGTGGGTACCTGGTGGATAAATCTGGCAAATGTTGGTCCAAAGAAGGCAGTCAGATACAGTGGGTCCATATTTGTCGACACTTGCTAAAACGTCCTAAATGCATACACCCTTACGTACAAACAAAGAACAAATTTGAAAATGAAGAACCGTTTGTGGGTTGATAAAGTCTACATATGGTAAGTATTGCTACATATAGCACGTTCATCTTACATCTGAGGGGGGGGGGGGAAGCACAAATTTTAAATAACTATAGTCAGATTAAGCTTCCATTTGATCGTTTGGGTAAATTGGAAGAAAAAAAAGCATCAAATAGTCCGCCAATGGAATCATAGGTAACCTAACCTTTTTCTATCTGCCTTTTCTCCCAAAAAAACTAACATATAATCCAAATGAGGCAATAGAATTATTTACCCAAAAGCGGTAAACTTGTTTTGGTCCCAAATCGCTTTAATATGGATATTAAAAAAGAACGTATTCAATGGAATAATCGTTTACACCTAACTTTTCTAACATTTTTGTCACGTGCCGTAGCAAGATGAAGGTCAACATGCAATTATTCCAAACTAGCCACAGTCAATTGTATTGATGGGCTTTTTTTCAAAACATACAATCTAATCAATGCTAGCAAGTAATGCTTCAGCCGTGAGTGGGGTCACATTTCCGTAGTAATGTATTATGTCGTATGTAAATCCCGTTTGAGGTCCCTAGAAACATGTAAATCCGGGATTAACGTATACTGTAAATTAGTTCACCTGATTAAACTCTACTTGTGCAGGCATTAGAAAAACTGTCTGCTTGCGAATTCAATATTTAGACAAACCATATTTATCTTGGGAAAAATCCGTACCTGTTTTACCAGACTCGTATAGGGATCGTAACAACACATACAAATACTCGTGAGAGTTTTATAACATAAAAATCTCAAACTATCCATCTTCATATAAGTTGATAACATTTTGCATCAAACTTATGCCGCGAAACAAGTACTGAATATATGCTCAGCAATGCGACACTATCATTAAAATCGTGAGAAGATGATTTAACCAGTTCTCAAAATTTGGTTTGCTTTCAAACTTTAGTACCTCATTAGTGCTAAAGCTCGTAATTTTATTACTATTATTGAGAATATTGCTGTCGCTTTCAAAACTGTATATGATTAACGGCAAGTTTAAATCGGCTAAGATGTTCTAATGTTAATTAGTTAATAAATTCTTAGCGCAAGCTCAATTCTCAATTCAGGAAAAATCGACTGATATATCAAGTTTCTGTTAGCATTTATAACAATTTATTTTAATGCGTCTTTTTATTATTATGGGTTTATCGAACAAAATCGTCAACTGCCGATGATTTCATCGCGTGAACCGACGGTAAGTTAATTTTGCTACTATGTTATCCTACGTTAGTTCGGTCAATAATCTCTATAAGCGCCTAGCTTTTAACTTCACGTGATTTTTCAATGACATTTCGGAGAATATCGGCATCGCGTTCCTCGCGTTCCTGCAAATTTACTTTTATGTTTGAATGGGTTGTTCTTTTATTGGTAACTATCTTTAATCTGCTGTCGTGTTACCATGTTAGTCTCAATCGCAATTATTGTTTTCGACTTAAATTCAAGTCTTATCTTGTGACAAGCACGTTATATTGCATCCCTAATTATACCAATAGCGATATCTAGCAAAAATCCATT